CTTATCGTGTTGTTTAACACTGTGTTGCTTGGGTGTCCCATTCTTGCGTGCTAGGTTCCTTCGGTGGCACGATGTCCGGGTGAGCGCCGATACATACCGGAGTTGGAATAGAAGCTGGCGGTGAAGTTGGCGCTTCGATGAACTTCTCGTGGTGCTGGGTGCAGTTGCTGCGCGGATGTCGGTGGTGTGTTGTCGACGAAGATCGGTGCCGTTGAAGGACCAGCGATTGGTGTTGATCTTGCCGCTGTTGTCTCCGTTATCTCTGCTGCTGCCGTTGTTGTCTCTGCTGCTGCCGATGTTGTTTCTGCTGCTGCTGATGTTGTCTCTGCTGCTGCCGATGTTGTCTCTGCTGCTGCCGATGTTGTTTCTGCTGCTGCTGAATGTTGAATTGTCGCTAACGCTCTTGTTCTTTCCGCTTCAGGTATCGTGTGTGAATACCAGAAACTGCCGGGGCTGAAGTCTGGGTCAAGATCCGATGGATGTGTCCAAGAGGTGAAGGTGACGATGCCGTCGCTGTCGGCGGTGCCGAGGTCTGGAACGAAGTCGAGAACGAAGACATTGTTCTTCAAGACTGATTTGCCGATGTAGAGACCTCCTCTCCCCTGGTACAACTTGAACTCTTGGGTGGTGCTGTCTGCTTCGAGGTGAACGCCTTTTGCCATCAACTGGCTGACGCTCAGTAAGTTGTAGCCGAGTCCCTCCGCAATTAATACCTTTGACATCTGTAGTATAACGTTTGTCTCTCTTGACTGAAGTTGAACCACGCCTTGTCGTCGTGTGCGCAGGTTTTGGTTGTTGGCGTCGGTGATGACTACTTCGCGTTGGAGTTGGTACTCTTGCTGCACGAAGCGTCCTGAGGAGCACATGTGCTGTCCGCAGCAACTGTCCAAGAACCAGGTGTCTTTCCCGGATGGCTCGCTCTGGGCGATGGCTGCGTACGTTGGATTCGGTTGAAGTGACTCGCGGCGAGGTGTGGTGTTGTCGAGTTGTTCTTCCGGTGAGTAGTGTGGCGGTGACTCGGTGACGTAGGAGTCTGACAATCTTGCCATGCAGCTGACGATATTTCTTGTTCCTTGTGCAGATTGTGTTGACGGCGATGTCGTTGAAGACTGTAGTTGACTTGTGGGGCTCGTTTGCGTGGAGGCGACTTGACTGCTTGAGGGTCGAAGCTGTCGTTGTGGCGGTGTTGACTGTTGTCGATTCGGGCAGTGTGTGCACGGGTGTCCTGACGTCTTGCAGAGATTGCAGAACGGAGGTACGGGCTTTGGTTGTTGTCGGTTGTTGTTGTTGTTGTTGTAGCGTCGCTGAGTGTGAAACGCGAATTCGGGTACTTATGCTTTCTTCTTGTGCCGTTCCTCTTGCAGGTCCATGTCTTGTTGCTCGGCGTGTATTTCGGCGCAGAGTGTTGCCTCGGAGATTCTCCCATGAGCTCGGAGAATGGCCTTTGTGGCGCGCCATTGAGGGCCGAGGCCGCCGATGATGACTGTCACGAAGGCGTCTTCAGATATCGACCCTCCGCATCAAAGGAGTTTGTCGCGTAACTCGCGACAGTGGCTGATATACGCTATTCCCTTTTCGCCTGGTTTCATTTCCACTGTTGTCAATTGCGCCATTAGCCGACTCTGATTAACGCTGTCTGTTGCTTGATACAGGCTGTTCAAGTGGCTGTATGCGAGTTCGGCGGAGTTGCCGTATCCCTGGTAAGACCGTATATTCTGCTGCTGGTTCGGGGTGATGTTCCTCAGTAGAATCGTATACGCCATCATTGACTGATAGGTGTACTGCTGCTTCTCGTACTGTGTGCCGTTTGTTGGGTATGGCAGGGATCCGTCGAAGAAGCCAAGAATCTGCACGCCTTCCATCATTAACTCGAACTTGAACGACCAGGTGAAGAAGTCCTTTCCGTCGAAAGGCCTTGACGTCTGGAGTTTTAAAACGTGCGCGAACTGCGACTGAACTTGAAGTGCGTCCAGTGGTTTCTCCTGTCCAGGTGCAGGCTGCGGTTGTGGCATAAAGCTGACGGAGCCGCGCTGGGGCTCATACGGAGCAAAGGTAGGTTGCTGCTATTGATTTCCACGTGCGTAGGATGAACCGTCAAGGGTCATTCGAGTCACGTCGTTGTTGTTGTTGCTGTTGTGTGATTGCGCAGGTACCGATTGCTGGTGTTGCTCGTAGAAGGACATGAAGGAGAAAAAAATCTCCATCATGCTCTGGTCGAAGCCTGCAGGTTGATTCGCAGGAGTCTCGGTTGATGTTGCCCTGGGTCTTGTTGCCGTACCCTCCGCTGTCTGTAGGCCAGAGGCAGGAGGTGGAGTAGGAGTAGTGCCGGGAGAACCAATAGAGGAACTCCTTTCCTTCTGAGTAGCCATGTCTTCTGATGTTGTAGGTGTTTTGATAGTTGAATTCCCCCTGATAGCTCTCATACCATGTTGGGCTGAAAAAAGCCCTTAGGATCTTTGCAGGGGTGAACTCTGGGTAGGACTGATGTAATAGCGGAAGCGTTTAATGAAGAGTTGTGAACCACCTTGCGCTAGTATGTGAGGGCAAAGTAGATTGATTAAAGCAAGGAGATACAGGGTTATATAAGAGTACAAGGAATACGAAGGGATACAGTTATAACTGCTTTACTGTTGCTGTTGCGGTTCGATACAGTGACGACTCGGGCAACTGCTCTGTAACGAGTCAGTTGTGTGTCCTTGCTGTCGCGCTGTACTTGTCAGGTCAAAGGTCGCTGACCTTTGACTTTCGCGTAACCTCCAGCAGTTGCTCAACCTCCGAGGGTTGACTCGCTGATGCTGCGATATGTTGTGCTTCGCTTGTGCCTTGGTGTTTCGACACGACAGAGGCGCTTAGAATTAGTTGTTTCCAACAATAACTATGCACAATATTTTGACATCACTAGCCTTATACCTCCACCCTCCCTCCCTCACATCCTCCCCCCCACCCTCTTGCCCTCCACCCTCTCACCCTCCACCCTGCCCACCCTCTTCCCCTTCCCCTCCCTCCCCACCCCCCCTCCCCCTTCCCCTCCCTCCCCACCCTCCCTCCCCCTTCCCCTCCCTCTCCATCCCCCCTCCAACCCCCCCACAACCCCCTTCCTATGCGCAACCAGGGCCTATGTTACCAGGATAATTTATCCTGATTCTCCTGAATTCAGGATAGGTGTCGTGTGCTTCTCCTGAAAAAACAGCATAAGGGAATTACTTGTCCTGTAAAATCAGTATAATGGTTATTTTGCGTACTGAAACTCAGGATAACGCTGTAGGTTCAGCCCTGACGACTCAGGATAATGTCGAATCTCGCCCTGAAGCAAGATGTACTGTACGAAAAATCTCCTGGGTTTTGGGGCCAAAAGTGTACAAGGCGAACGCTTCGGATGATGGAGCCAGTTGGAAACGAGCAGGCAACCTACTGCGTAGCAATCTTTCGCTTTACCCACTACAACACTTCATGTTCGACTCGCCGAACAACAAAATCTATAACAATATTGTTTTGCGCCAGCTTTTCCATCCAATTTGGCCCACGATGTTCACCGCCACCTTCGCCATCTCCTTGTACTGTGCTGTAACACTTTCGCACCATGCAGCTGCCAGCGACTTGCACTGCCAGCCACTTGCAGCTGCACCCCAGAATTACACACTTCGAATGTGGAGAGCATTTCGATCCCCGCTAACATAACACGCGCGAAATATACAGGATTGTACGAAATGTAGCACTGAGCTGCCAGGATACTCTCAAATGTAGCACTGACATTTCAGGATACCTCACCCTGTGCAGCCCTGACAATTCAGGGCAGATTCTGATTTCCTAAAAACTGCCCTGAGGCCTCAGTGTACCCCCAAACCAATCTGAGGGCCTGTGCGCAACCCTAATAACCGCAGCTATTAGTCAGAACTCCCCAAGCTAATCTGATTATTAGGGGTAATAAGAAACATGCTCCGGCCCACTCAGACAGTCTCATTCCTGTGCCAATGGCATGCCCTGACTGATTTTTATGTGAAGCGCCTCAAAAGCAGGCCCAGAGCTGACTGCTGCATCGGCCCATCACGGAACCATACCCCTGCGGTCTGCTAACCAGTGCCTTCCCCTAACCAGTCATTGGACCTTCCCTCGAAGCTTCCTCTCACCCTTCCATTCACCCTTCCATGCACCCTGCCTGTGAACAGCTTGCAAACTACTCCCTATCCTTCGCCCATCATCAAAGGAGAGAGAGCGTGCCCTACTGACTCCTCCCGGCTCTTGAGGCGCCTCAAAACTTTTGAGCCGCCTCAAACATCTCTAGCCCATCACTTATAGAGAGAGCATGCCCTATTGACTCCTCCCGGCTCCCAAAACTACCCCACGGGCGCCAGTCAGCCAATGCTAATCCCCATGCATGTCCTAGCATACCAATTCAACCTTCCTAAGGGCAAGCCCCAGACGTCTTGGCTTGAAACTCCCCAGCACAGATTGGCAGGCCGCACAGAATGCAAGACAGCGTCGGTTACCCGGCCTTGAGCCTGGCCCTTGGCCTGGCCGGCTTTGATTTGAGCCTCCAACCCCCCCTCCGCCTCTCCCGGCCTTCCGCCTTCCACTGACTGCCATCACAAAGGGAAGCTTTGTTAAACGCGAAATCTCCCCGCTCAGCTCGCGTGCTGATCGCCTTGAATGTTGAGCATCTGCGTTAGCCCCCTCGCAAGCCCCCCTAGCCTGGCCACTCCAGATGCCCAACCCACACTCCCTCCACTGCTCGCCCTCCCATGATCACTGAGCAGGTCGGGTATACTCCGGCCGGTTCCGCTCAAACACTGACGTGGTCCCCATGCTGCCCCCCTGTGACGCGTACACTGCTGACGCGGCACGCGGTGATTGGTCGATCCCGGAATGCCGCCCGTCCTTGCTCTTGTGTCGTCGTCGTCGTCGTCGGTGCTGCTGCTTTCCCCGCCAGTCTTGCTGGGCGCTACTCTAACGCCCACTGCAGCTAGCTGGGACGCAATCTCGTCCTCCCAGGATCATGGTCTTCAGTTAACTGCTTCATTACTCTCCAACTTTTGGCACCATGTCGTGCTGGTTAACCATGGATGACCTGCGTCGAAGCAAAAACAGAGGGAGGTTCTCTGAGGTGTCATTTATGTAGGAGCACTACCATCATAAAACCGGTAACCATTTCACCCCAGATGTTCCACGACAAAAAAAGAAAAATGAAAGAAAGAAAGAATAAAAAAACCAGTTGCACTGAAGTACGGCATCATCATCAAGCAGCCAAGGACTGGCAAAGGAGAAAATTGAGAGATGCGGAAGCATAAGCACACAATGGTGAGCGCGAGCAGCAATACAAAATAACTATCCGGACTAGCAAGACCTCGTGGTGACCACCCACGTCAGCAACGGAACCTAGCATGCAAAACAGCATGCTATCATCTACACCTAGCATTCCGTAAGCACCCCCACCCGCTTTAGCACCGCATCCACCCAACAACATTTTGAGAACAGCACTCACCCAATGCCTCCAGAGCCGAGGGCCTCTCTTCCGGGTCCTTCCTCAGCAAGGCTCTCAGCAGATCCTTAGCCTCCCCAGACACACCCCTCCATACCCGGCTCTTCAGAGTCAGCTCATCCCTTGCAATACCCTCCTGCATCGACTTCCCCTCCTGCTGTTTCCCCTTCCCCCTCCTGCTACTGCCACCCGTGCTTCCAGCTTGCTCGTTGAACAGATCTGGTAGTGCCGCCCAGGAGGGGAGGGCGCCAGCTAGCATGGCGTGCAGCACGACGCCCGCGCTCCAGATGTCCGCCTTGGCGTTGTAGGGTGCTTTCATGGCCACCTCTGGTGCCATGTACTCTGATGTGCCTGTGGTGTCCGTGCATACACCGTCTGAAACCGAGAAGTGGGTGGTTTGGGGGGAAAATGTCAGAATGGGTACACACATGTGCTGGATCCGAGGAGAATAGGAACGAGAATATATGACCGTTTTTGTCCTTACCATCATCGAGAAAACCAGCCACTCCAAAATCACTGAGCTTGATCTCCACCTCCCCGTTGCCTGATTGTTGAGAAATCCGGTCGCACAGGAGGATATTTTCGGGCTTCACGTCGCGGTGAAGCACACCGAGGGAGTGGCAGTGGTGGAGGGCTTCCAGCAGCTGTCTCATCACGGATGCCGCGTGCCGCTCATTGAGACGGCGATTGGGGGCGCTTTGTATGAAGTCAAAGAGATCGCCGCCGTTGCATAGTTCCATGACGAGATGGACGGCCTGGATGAGAGGGAGTTGAAGGGTGGAGGAGATGGGCCAGTGAAGAGGAGACCGACACCACATCTTTGTGCAAATGAGGGTACTTGTGAAATGTGGTGCTTGTACATAGGATGTGGAAGTGCAGGAAGTGTAGCACGAACTAAATATAGCGGGAGACTCAATTACACGTACCTTCTCGTCCTCAAATACTTCGTGCACTTGCACAACTCCTCGATGCGATTTTAGAAGGTCCATGAGGAGAACTTCTGTCCGCAAATCAGATACCTCACTTCTTGTCTGCATGAAAAATCACACAGATGATAAGATGAAGGGAGGAACAATCTGTCAAATTGGAATCGTGAGGAAGTAAACAATTGATTTCACAAGGAGCACCTTGCATTGCAAATTAGTTTATCGTTCCTTACCTTAATATTGGATTTGGTAATCGTCTTGCAAGCGAACACTGCTCCAGTACTCCATTCCAGGCATTTCCTGATTTCGCCGCTACCTCCCTCGCCGATCTTCTCCTTGCTGATGTGGAACTTATCCCTCACGCAACTGTATCGGATGCCCAAAATGCGCTCTCGCAGCTGCAGCTGACGTGGCGAGCACGACACAGAATCTGCTTTCTGGCCGAAGCTGCATCCAGATATGCTGTGGTTGATAGGCTGACGTGGGGAGGGAGCTGGAACTGTGGGGCCATTATTGGTGGCTGGTGATATGGTCCCTTCTCCCCAGGTTTCGCCGCTGGAGTTCGCATGCACGAGCTTCATGTTTTGCTTGGAAGAGGGTGAGGGAGCTCCTCTGCTGCGAAAGCCTTCGCGACAATCCGTTGAGCTTGTGTCGCCAGCAACTGACGCGCTTCGCCATTGCACAGCGCCCGCGAGTTTCTTATTTTCTGGGGTTCCCGGGAAACCGTTAGTAGTCGATGTTTGATCACACACCCCGTAGTCCCGACCATGGGACTTAGCGCTCCTGTGAGAGACACGCACCGTTCCTCTCGCTGCTTCACCGTGCATCATGGAAGGAGACGGGAAACCCTGTTTTGAGTGGCTCCTGCTGTGATCCCTGAAATTGTGCGAGGTGTTGCTGCTGCTGGGACTCGATTTATCGTTAAGGCGATGCTCTCCGCGAGGCGAAGCGACGCCACCTGGCGGCGGCTGCGAAGTTCGCGGACTTCGCACGCATTCGAAATCCCGAGTTTGGACGAACACGCGCTGAGCATATCTGCGAGGCGCAGCTGGCGACGCGGGCAGCGGAGCAGGAGGACTGGAAGCAGCAGCAGCGCCGCTAGCGCCACTAGCAGCCGTTGCCCTCAATACGGTATTGGCGCTCCGAGTACTACTCATAGCAGTAGTAGTATCATCAGAGCTGGCGAAATCAATGTCGGGCAAATCTATGTTTGACGACGAGCGGAAAGGTCGTCCATTCATACGCCATCGCGCCGAAATGGCGGCGTGGCAGTGATTCGCAACGCCGCGAGACGGCCGGCTCGGAGGACTGACTGCGCCGCCGCGTGCGATGCCGGTTCTCTCGGGGGCGTTATTATCCATTTCAGACACTGATTCGCTGCGACTGATCGTCGTGACTTGCGGGCCGCTTCGGGGCGACTCGATGCGCATCCGCGGCGCGGCGGAGGTACTTTGAGAAGAAGGATAAATATTGCTCCGAAACTGACGGCAACCGTCGCCGCGGCCCACGGTGTAACGAGCCGGCTGCGTCATCATGCTGTCAAGCCGCGCTGGAACGGACGGCGGTCTGACGAGCTGACGCGGTCGCTGCGACTGCCACTGCCCTTTCCAAAGCCCCGCCGGCGACTTCGGCGGTAGTAGTAGACTGGTGCTCGGACTACCGCCGATAGTCCAAGCCGCAGCAGGAGGAGCTGCTGCCGTAGCGCCGGGAGAAGTATCAAGAGCAGCAGGTGGACTATCTGGCGATAAGGGCATCCGATGCTGAGTCGCCTGTTCTCTACCGCTGGACAGCATCTCATTACTCGTAGCGGCAGTGAATTCGAGAACGGCGTGGCCACCGCGCGCCTCGATTTCTTGTTGGAGACGATTGAGCTCGAGAAGCAGCTGCGGGTGGTGGCGCGGATTGAGCGTCAGTTTGCGCGGCTCAGCCGCCTGACTCGGAGGCATTGCTTCGGGGTACGCCGTGTCGGTAGTGCTAATAGAGGCGGCGGAGTCGACGGAGAAACTGCTGGGATAAAAGGCGGCTCTGACGGGTGGAGGGGCTCTAAGCTTGTGATCGTCCGCCATGATCGTGACGGGAACTGCTGAAAGCATTTTCGTTTGATAGTCTGCGTGTCTGGCGCTACTGAGTAAAAGCGATGATAAATATAGAAATGCGCCGAAGCGAACGCCGAGCTGGCTGTGAGTGGAAATAACCGTTTGATAGCAAACGTATGTTTTCCTAAGTAGGCGGAGTAGCTTGAATTAAGATACCACACGTCATGATAACAGGCGGCGAACCTGCGAATAGAAAATGCTTGAATACCCATTGTCGTTTCTAGTCGTGTGCTGTGCTGAGCGGTGTCGTGATTGGGCTGAATGAAGTATCAATGGGAGATATTGACGTCAAGTAATGTGATAGCTGTGAAGGCTGCAAAGGAGAGTTGCTGCTGCAGCAGGTACAACTCCTAGGATTTCATACAGAGCTTCTCTGATTCGTCGAAAACACCTCCCAGGATTTCCTCCAATTTTTTGCCAAGGCCGAAGATAGAAAGCAGTGTTCATGGATCAGAAAGAAGCGATTACTTCGAAACAGGGAGTTTAGGTAAGAGGTCAGAAGAAGGGTGAGCACGCCTAGCTCTGTAAGAAGGGTGAGCACGCCTAGCTCTGTAAGAAGGGTGAGCACGCCTTAGCTCTGTAAGAAAGACAATTCTCATTGCCGTGTTTCCTCATTTCGCCGCATAATTTGCGAGGTGCACGACAACCAACCCTCCTGAGGTGGCATGGACCCGAACGGAACTCGAAAAGCCAAGCAATTGTCGTACAAGACGGGAAACAACTACAGTAGCGAACGCCGAGAGGCGGGGAGAGTGGGTGCGGGGGCGGGGAGGGGTGGGGGGTGTGCGTGACGGTTGTGTTTGTGGGTGGGGGTACTGTACCGTGTGAAGATAGTCGGTGCCATGGGTCTATGATGCCTGCCATGATTCACAAGTGACACATTGTGCTAACAATTGAGACAAACCGTCAGATCGTCGGGATTCTGCATTGGTTTACACCAGTTTTCTTGCTATATGAACCTGAATTGGGCTGTAATGATGGGATTGTCAACTTTCCAAGGTGACCGTTTTTTTTAGAGTTTCCTAATGCGCGAGCTGACAGGGATAAAGCCCTTGATCCTTGTAAGGTCTACAAACGATTGAGACAGGTGAAGGTGTTACGAGAGGGTATTTATTCATGAGACCTGCGCCTTTTCCACAGGTATATCTCATTTTGCAAATGCAAGCTTAGCAAAAATGTGCATTACGATTCGAGATTTACAACGTTCATTGTGCCCGTAGTGGTGCTGGCAAACAAATCTCTGCACCAGAGATAGTCTGACTCAAACGAGCATCTGGTATATATCATTCTTCGATTGCGTAACAAATCTGGAACCACTGCATCAGGGTGTCATTTTCAGCCACGGTACGGCAGAGAACGGAGGCTTGCTTGTGACCACTGCAGACACGCCCGAGGAGCAGACCGCACCAGGCGGCAGGTCATCGAGTTCACTTGTTTCACCTGGCGTCAACATTCATGATATGACAATCAGGGCTCAGGATTGCAGGGCGTTTTACCCTTTTTGCCCTGCATTTCATGGTTAAATTTTGGACCTGCACTGCTAGACTCGGGTTTGGCTGGGTGTCCACCCTGTCATCGTCAGGCAGGGCTAATAACAAACCCTGCAAATGCTGTTAACTCTTATGTGCCACACTGCCGTTTCCCGGCTCGATACGGCAGACACCCTGCAAACTTTTTCCCCTAAGGCGAAATGTGTCTGGTAGCGTTTGTGAGTGAAATTTCCAGAATCCGCTAAGTACTTGAAGCAGCAAAGATTTGCTCTAGCTCAGTGAGTGGCGTTCGTGACTGAAATGTGTTCAGTAGTGTTTGTTGAAATTCCAGAATCGGCGAAGTCCTTGAAACACCAGAGATACAGCTCTAGCACAGAGACTGGTGCGTTATCGCTAGTGACCGCACCTGGAAGACCCACTGACAGGACTCTCATCTCCCCAACTCGCACCACTAAAACCTCAGCAACCACGCACTTACGCACGACCACCGTCTCTGTCTGTTGAGGAAAAACCACTTTCAATCGAGCCAGGAAGACCCAGGTTCGATCATGGCAGGATCAACTACGGAACCCAAAGGTTTTTGCTAAGCAGTGTTTTCAAAAAATTTACCCTGCTAGATTCGACCTCGCAAAAAAAACACACTGCTATTTCTCGGGTACAACTGCCAAGGCACACTGCAGAGGCAGGGTGTACAAGGTCACAACTCGGATCAGCCAGTGTGCCCCAAAATGAATCGAGAGCCCTGATGACAATGGCCAGAAAGTGAGTCGTCATGTCTGACGGAGATTGGAACAAGCATATATATAATGTACATTTGTTTTGCAGACTTGTCATGGATATACCCACCCATATCGCTTTCTACAAATTCATACAGAGTGACTTGGAGTAGGCTAGTCCCAATGAATCTTGACAGCACAAACTGGTACTACGGTAGGTAGGCCATGGCACCTACATGAGTAAATTGCATACACAAGTACGGCCCTAGAGCAAGAAAGAAGCAGAAACGGACGATGATTAGCTGAGTTTGCCAGCCAACGAATCCCCTAGACCTACAGCTGAGCTGCTGAGGCATACCCGATGAGCGCACCGCGAATAATTAGTACCTACTTGATCCTCATCAGTCTCTCGTCCATGTTCATCTGCAGTACTACTGACTCTCTGCACCCCAGAACCTGTCATTTTCAGCCTTGCCTCCTTCCAACCAGGAGACACTAAATTAGACATGACTAGCCTTTTTCCTCTATCCCCCTCACCCTCCCTCCCCACCCACCCTCCTCCCTTCACCCCTCCCTTCCCTCCCACTTCCCCCTCCCATCCCTAGCCCTCCCCCTCCCCCTTCCCCTGCTCTTTGCCCCACTCCCACCCCCTTTCTACACATAACCCTATAACCACAGCTGTTAATCAGAGATGCCAACCTACTGTGATTATTCGGGTTAATCAGAAACATGCCCATTCTCTCACAGACACGGTCCCGCTCCTGTGCCACGGACGAACCCCCACTGTTTATCACATGCCTCGC